TGATTACGTCTCGATCTAGCTTCTACCTTCCGATTTTCGAAACCCAAAACAAGACACAAAATGTATGTGAAATCGGGAAAATTAAGATCATGAAAATCACCTCGAAAACTGAAGCGAGCCTACTAGCCATCTCACTGTTCTTCAGATTCGCTGGGATTCCATGCTTTTTGCATAGAGCTTGAAGATCCTTCCTCTTCATTCCGTGAAATTCCATCTCCAACGAACAAATCAATTCGATATTCTTCTTTCACCATAAATTAAGAACACCACAAAAGTGAAAGATTAAACAGAAATGAGAGATCGAAAAGAGATTTAAAAAAAGTTCGAGAATATGTATCGTCGTCTCTGAATCTGTGTGCTTTGGGGATAAAAAATTTTCTAATTTTGAATTTTGTAAACCCCGCTCTTGTAAAACCTACTAACAGAAACCACGCGCGTTTCACAAAAGTGACGCATACTCGCGTTATTAGCCGTCCGATTCAACAGATGAAGGCGCGTGTTTTCTTGATGTGGACGTATACTGGTGGTTAACGAAAAAAGCTCGCGGAGAGCGTATAGAAGAAGATGAACTACCATTATAATAGGCCGCTTTTGGGCCGTTAAAAGGCCCAATTTAATTTTTCAGCGGGAACTAAACAAATGGATCTAAACCGTTGATTTCTTATCTTTAAACAAGAACACTAAACAAAAGGTAAGATTTTTGAAATACCTCAAACTGAGAATTGGGTTGTTTTCTTGGATCATCCAACAATGATCCGATTATCATCACCCGGATTCGCGATTTACCCTCGATTTCAAAACAATCACTTCGTAAAATCCCAGAAATCGACTTTTCTTCCCGCTCAAATCGGGTCACGGCGGAGGAACTTCACCGGAATCAGATCGGAAACCGGCGGCGACGGATTCGATTCTGTGGCTTACGAGTCTGAGAGGCTGAGTCTCGACGCGGCGGCGATGGAGGATATGGCGGAGACGGCGAAGAAAGAAATGGAATCGGATACAGATAGTGACCCGAAAGCTTGGAAATGGGTAATCCGAAAGAAGATGTGGGATCTAATGGAAGCTCGGAACTACTCCATGAACCCTAGACCTGTTCATCATCGGATCCCTAATTTCATCGGTGCATCAGCTGCTGCCGGAAAAGTAGGCGAATTTAATCAAGCCCATTTACTCACTTTCTGGGTTTTGTTCGGCGAATGTTGAAATTTGCCAAATGTGAGTTCTTTGCTGCAGTTAGCTGAGCTTGAGGCTTTTCGTAAAGCTAATGTCGTGAAGGTTAATCCTGATTCGCCGCAAAAGCAAATCAGGTTTCTTACACTTTCTGGTTAGTGTTGCATTGTGTGAATGTATAAAAGTTATAGTCTTGAGTTGAATCAGATTGTTGAGAGATTGTGTTTTGTGATTTTAGGTGATAAGAAGTTATTGACTCCTCAGCCTAGGCTAAGAACAGGGTTCTTCTCTGTATTGGAATCCGGTTTGTTGAAACCGGAAACGATCAATGAAGCTTGTACATCTGTAGGAGTAGCTAAGTATGGAAGAGCGATTGGTCTTGATGAGAAAATCAAAGTTGATCTCATTGTTATTGGCTCTGTTGCGGTTAATCCACAAACCGGTGCTCGATTAGGGAAGGGAGAGGTAAGTAGTTGTTACAACTCGATTTTTCGATTTAAGAGTAAACGAAAGATTCAATTGAACCAAGCATATGGTGTTTGTTCAGGGATTTGCGGAGCTTGAGTATGGAATGTTGCGTTACATGGGAGCTATCGATGATTCAACACCCGTTGTTACAACCGGTAAATATACAATCTAGCTACAACAATTCTTGAAAACTTTCTCGTGTTAATGGCTCATGAAGCTTTTACTTCCTTTGCAGTACATGACTGTCAGCTCGTGGATGATATACCCCTCGAGAAACTGGCGATTCACGACGTTCCTGTGGATATCATTTGCACTCCTACTCGAGTCATTTTCACAAATACACCAATACCGAAACCGCAAGGTCTTGATAGGACGTTGCCTGATTTAGTGAGTATCCATTGTTCATGAAGGTTGATTGTTTTCTCTGTTTTGCAGGAATCTATTGGGACAAACTCTCGCCGGAGAAGCTACAACAGATTCGGATATTGAGAGAGCTAAAGAAACGGTTGGAAAAAGAGATTGGACGTAAACTTCCGACCGGACCAGCTGAGAAATTACCTCCCAGGGCTGGACGCAAACGCCGGTAACTAACTAACGGCTTGGAGTTTTGGCCAATTGTTCGACTAAACCGTCTAGTTTTTTTACTGGTTGTTTACGGTTCGAGAAGATAAAAGATGTTTGTTCGTATGATAGATTTGTGTTGTGAAAATGTAGTCGGATTGGTTTGCTTCGGATTATAGCAACAATCAATAACATAATTGAATTCTTTTGTCTACACATACATTACAAACTCTTTGAAAGTACATATTTATTTGAAATAATAAGCTGATTATGTTTCATCCATTACAATATTACGATTTAAATCATATTTCACTTGTTGCGGAGATAGTACCAGCATAACCAAATACCCACAATAGCCAAGCCAATGCCTATCCCTATCAAATAAAAATAACTCGCCGCCATTTTCCCTTTGCTTTGTTCTGCTTCTCGCCAACAAT